ATAAGAGTAACAAAGATTTTGGTATTCATATTTCACGATTACAGTTTTTCAAGTTCGCAAATATACTAGCAATATATATATATATATATATATATATATATATATTCCTTCTACTACTCATTTTGCAAAACCTTACCAAAACATACATAGTTACCTCCCCTTAAACGGTGTCCGCTAAAGATGTCATGGCACAGCATTCCTGCTTCCACATATAAGAAATTTAATTTTCGGTTGATCACAACAATCTTCGTCCGTCACAACCATGAACACTAAAACACTTACCCTATAATTCACAATACCCTGATGATGACATTATGCTATGTCGAAAGTAGTTAGTGGAAACAGCTCAATATCAGTGATAGAGCTAACATATTCAGTTGTATGGTTACGAGTTTGTGACCCTAGGAGGTGTAAGTTTCTCTGACGGCGCAGGCGGTAGATCTAAAAAACGTCAAGAACACCCCTACTCGTTCCTTGTTGAAAGGAACATCGCTACATATATAAAAGCTACGGTCTCGACACCGAGATAGAATTACAACTGCGTATGTATGTATGTATGTATGTATGTATGTCCGAACGCATGGATATATATCTGCGCCTAGCCTGCATGTTTCATTAAACAATGTCCTGTTTGTTGCTGTTAAGGGACTTGGAATTATAAATGTAGTCTTGTGAAAAGGCACATTGAAATAGCCAAAGAAAAATTGAACACCCTTAACAGCAACAAACAGGACATCTATATTATTTAATGAAACATGCATCAGCAATATATATATATATATATATATATATATATATATGTTGATGCATGTTTTATTTAAGTTCCATGAAAGGTGATTGACAAGGTACTGCGATTAAGCTTTTTATTTAATTTTTCTTGTGTCTGTATAAGTCTTTTCTTTTCTTGACGTAACGTGTGTAAAACATGGTCCAAATGTCAATTGACCGTAAATGGTACTTAGCTTAATTAGGATTCATTTAAACACCCACGGAAACTACAAAATTCCATCCGAAATATATTTGTAGAAAATACAAGTTTAATAGCCTCATCCACATGTAAAAAATAAAAAATAATGGAAGCACTAATAATATAAAAAGGAAAAAAACTCAATAATGTGAACTACGAACACGGCCACAATGTGCTGACCATGTTTGGAAAGTAAAAAAGAAACATTTCTATAACTCTAGCTACATACATAAAAAATCTATGCATTCAGGTAAAAATAAAAATAAAGCGCTCGGATATACAGAACATACGGACAATTTTGATATATTTAATATCGAGAAAAGAAAACACAAGAAAAATAAATAAATAAAAAGGTTCGTCACGTTTCCCTGTCAGTCATCTTTAATGAAACTTGTATAAAAAGTCATTGCTGCACAAATACACAATTATATATATATATATATATATATATATATATATATATATATATATATATATATACAAATATATAAATATATATATATATATATTATTATTATTATTAAAAAGAAAGATGCCTACGTGTACTTCTTATAGTATGTATATTTGATAGGTCGGTTAATGTAATTTGACGACTAAAAGTACAACTAAATGATAATAATATTAACAGTAAGGTTGATGATATATTAGTAGAACTGTTGGCTCAATTGAAGCACGAAGAGAAAGATTTTAAAGTCGGAATTTACGGACATTCCTGTGCCCTTTTTCAAAGAGACGAGAAATAAATAAAATGGGACTCACACTTCCGGGGAATGTTGTTGTTCGTTAGAGGTCGCTCTGTGGAAACTATATTCTCTGAGGAAATACAAACCCCTGTTTAATCTTTTAATATATGATTCTATTCATTCTAGAATCGGGTATTTAATATTTTTATTCCTCAAATTTCATTAACATGCCAATTAAATAGATAGATAGATAGATAGATAGATAGATAGATAGATAGATAGATGTATTTTAGCGGCAATTCTTCCCTAATATATATTTCGTTAATAATTATTGACAAGATACTTCGGTGAAAGTTTTTGTATTATGTGTTTCTTGTTTATAAACAAGCTATTTCTTTTAGGGATTTTGTGCATATAGAAATTGTCCAAATAATTGTTCTTTCCTGGCGTTGTCAGCTCATCTGTTAGATATTTTCAAAGACTTGGCTTGTACGATTGCAATTGTTGTATTAGATTTTATTGTCGAACACGGCCAGCACATTATGGCCCTGTTCGTCGTTGATATTCTTTTTATTTTATTTTTTTGTTTGTTTTTGATGAGAAGCCCTTTTATTATTTTTAGCCGTTGTTAGATCTATTTTTCTTAAACCTGTTTTGCCTAGAAAAGCTGCATTTTATTTTACGGACAATACGCTCCAAAGAAAATACACGACTATTTCAACTACGAGGCAAGCTATATAAATGTTCAATATTCTCAATCGAATTTTAGATTACGTTCTTTATTCTTTGTAAATGTGACTTTGCTTATTTTCATCTTTATTCATTGCAGCTCTCCCATTATCACTAATCGAATTTTTTTTTCTCTTTCTCTTTCGACAGGAATGACCGTTTGCTTTCACACGTAACAGAAAAATTACGAATAAGAGAGACATCAGCTTGGAACGATGGCCGAAAGGATTTGCCACCGTCACTGGTTTTCGTGCTTCCATCTACGTTCGGCCCTGGTCATAAACTGTTTGCAAGGACAACTTAATCGCCGGCCCATGCCTCTTCTTCGTAAATGTTCACCGTGCACTGCAGAAGGATAGCAGAAACTATCAACCTAATATATAGCAAAATACTGTTGCAAATCATACGAATATTTCCGTTTATTTTAACCTGAAACAATTTCAGCTACTGAGCTGTTTCACTCGTTATATTTGTATATAGAAACATTTATTTACCTATCTATAGATATATATGCGTGGAATGACAAACCTTATAAATGTAGTAATACAGCTAAAAGCAAGAGATCTGCATCAAGAAATTCATGAAAAAAAATTAAGAATTTTTAAAGAAGAGAACAGATGCAAATACTTTGGAAAGCTCAGAATGTGATTTTTAAAACTAAAAATCCTTTTGTGTTTAGAGTGGTATCTGATTTTGGTAGCAAAATACTTGATGAAACAGATTACAGGAATTTCTAATAAAAAGAAATCTTGCAGCCTATTCTCAAATTGAAGAAATTTTCAGACTCGTTCTCACAATTAAACAATTGTTCGTTTCGTTTCGTTTTGAGAGAAATTTTCCTTTTGGATTCAACCTTTAGTCAGCCATCTTTTTTAGAAAATCAATCCATGCCTTGTCCGTTTTCAAGAGAGCACAAAGCAAAAGGGAAAACTATTTAACAAAGAAAGGAAGAAAAAAAAGAATCTAAGTATCAATACACGTGGAGGAAAAAATAGAAAAAGAGGACGATAAGGAAAGGAAGCGAAGAAAGACTAAAAAGAAATTACGAACACACAGACATACACACATACGCATCAGAACTGTACAGAAATGTCTTTTTCTCAGAAAAACGATGCAAGGAATCCCATCTGTTACAGAGAATTACAAAAGATACGTCCTTTATCGTTACTACTTCCAATACAACATCTGGTGTTGCAAAGGTCTCAGCAATTATTATTATTATTATTAAAAACAGCACAACGTCCAGTGATATTACCGTTGCAACCCCTTTTACAGAAATTACTAACTTATCTTCTTTAATCGCTACCATTATTTAATCTTGATTATCCGTTATTTTTTAATTATTTTAATCTCGTCAGAAAATATTCCTGGCTAAACAATCCGGGAAAATATGTAAAAATATCTTTTTAAATATTAAACTTTACACTGCACGCTTTCAAGTATACGCACACAAATTGCACGCGCATGCGCCATCATATGGAAATACTGCTACGTACCAAGCAAAAGGGAAGCCATTGTTTTCGATTTTGAAGACTAACCTAGTCGCCAAAAGAAACATTTATGATATCTTGCAGATCATAACTGAGAACTGTAAAATAGATATACAGGGGTTGTCACTGCATTTCCCAATCAGTGAATAAGTTTTAAAAATCGATACATTTTATCGCTTTTCCAGAAAGAAACAAAGATTTTGTATTTATCTATCTTAATATCTATTTATATAATTTTTTAGAACTGATAACAGTTTTTTTGTTTAAACATTACATAATATTTCAGTTGAAGTGGCCTATATCAGAATTTTGTTTACTGAATTTTTAATGGCCCCTGGTTTGCGAGTTCTCTAACAGCCTTCAGCTACAATGTCCTATAACAGCCTTCGAACGAACTATTCTATAACTCTTTGGTTAACGAAAAACACTGCTCTGTTCAATAATTCTCTAACAGCCTTCAGTTAATGAGTTTTCAGAAAGCCTTAGATCGAAGACTTTTTATTAAAGTATTGCGTCAAAATGATATTTTGAAATGGATAAGGCAACAAAGTATTCTTTTTTGCCATTTTAAATACAATAGACTATCACTGTTGCAAAACAGATTTTTATAACATTTTTAACAAGTTCTGACTCTGTTATTAGATGACGACAACCATTTTTATTTGAATTTTTGTTGTTGTTGTTATTGATGTTGTTGTTGAAGATTCAAGATATTTTCCGTCGTATAAAAAATAATTGGAAATAATAAAATTAATTTTAAGAAATGCCAAAGCAAGCAAGACATTGGAACTAAGTTAAGGAAACTTCCGGTCTGTGTGAGAAAATCGACTGACGACGTAAGAACGTCAAGCAAAAAGGAAAGAGTTAAACGGACGCAAATGATGCTTCTTCACTGACCGCATAAAAACAGGAAGAAAAAAAAATCATATAAATATATCACACTTATATACGCATGCGCATACAGTTACACTCACAACAAAATTAAATAATCAACCATCAATATAAAATACCAAATTAGAGGAAACAGGATTAATAGAGAAAAAAAAAAGTTACGGCGACTTCAGAAGCCAGAGTTTGATAACCAAATCACCACCATTACGCCTTCTTCAACCTCTCCCAACCCCAAATACAATGTTCGTGCCCCGGGTTCGTCTGCATTACAGCAGCAACGAGTATCCAGCATTTAGCTCCAGAAGACGGAGACCGCGACAGAAGGAGAGACGGCCATTCAAACTAGCCGATTTTATTCACATCCCTTGCCTTTTGCCGACACTGGTTGGTACCTTGATTGGATCGCTTATCTCGGTCGGAGGAATCACTATGAGCATTCTTGGTTACTACCCAGAAACGTCGATTTTATCACAGGGCCTTCGCTTGCCACCTAAACCGCCAGACCCACCGAAAAACCCCCATCTAAAGGTGCTAGCCTACATCGGACCTCCTGTAATGGCTATGGGTGCGTTCACTGTCATAGTGTCGTGCGTCATGTACTGTGAGTTCAGGGACAAGTACCTGAGGGTCGAGGACGATATCAAAATACGTGGTCTAAAAAAGGATGCGGTTTACGAATTGGTGGTCGAGAGCTTTAGGCGAAACTATTTTCGGGGCATTGCTCTGCCCTTTGAAGATAGCAAGCTGAAAAGTCTAGAGCCCAATGACGGCATCACGAACAGTTCAGATTCCAATGTGTCATCAATAGGTGGGAATGAAACGAACGAGGCCCGCAATCCAAGTTACAAGGTGACCTTTCCGGCGTCGTCTCGTCGAAGTTCGGTCGTCACTCATCCGATTAAGAGGTCGGACTTTGGTCATAAGGCCAACTCAATGCCTAACATTAAACCATTCCATGCCTCTGTGGCATCGGCGCTCATGGCACACGTGTCTTACGCCCGGCGGAAATCAAACAACGTGGCATTCGACGACTTTCGCCTATCCCGCAACTACGACGCTGTTCGACGGTCATCAATGGCCTCCAGCAGCCTCGGCAGTACCTCGACGGGGATTATCAATCCGGCGTATGAACAGGACGATGAACCGAGAAGACAGAGGAGACGATGTGAAACACGCAGAAGTCCACGTTACTTGTGCGTCCATCACAACAGGCCAGTTAGTGAGGGTGACTCTAACGACTGTTTACCGGTCGTGATTGTCCACAGAGCTTCTGTGCACCAAGTGGACATTCCCGACCATCGGCGGAACTCAGTCAACACGTTAAACTCGGGAGGCTCGTATTCGCCGTTGCCGTGCAGTGCTACAAGCAGTGCCGGCGACGGTAGCCTATCGAACAACGAAATCGCTAGCGGTAACAATGCTCACAATTCAAACTCAAACCTAAGCGATAGGCCCTGCTGCGTGTCAAGGACCTCTATAGATAGCAATTGCATTAGATCCATGCTCACTTCGTTCCAGCATGAAACTAATTTTGACGTTACAACAGAAGGGACAGACTTACAAAACATTGAAATGAAAGAGGTAACGCACACGTGAAATATTTAAACGAAAAAAAAACTGTTGATTTATTTAAAACAAAAAATGATTAAGAAGACGTTTTAAAAAATATTTGCTATGTTGCAAAGATGAGCAGATTTGGTTGGGTTTTTTACGAAAATAATCGTCAAAAAAAGCATTGTTGTATTCTTAATATTCTTATATACATATATTCATATATTCTTTTATACTTTCGGAATTATAATGACCTCGACGTTTTATTGTGACGGAAACCATGAATAGTACACGACTGATAATGCTGAAATAAAATAATAATCATTTATATTATAAATTATACATTCACGGGCTAAAATAAGTTTGGTTGGTTTTTAAGTAATTTTTACAAGGATTGAGAATAAGATTGTTAATAAGAACAACAATAATAACAGTAAAAAGTGTCATCAGTATGAAGATATTAATGACATCTAAAAATGATAAAGACTTATCAAACCTATTTAATAATAATAATAATAATAATAATAATAATAATAATAATAATAATAATAATAATGAACAGTAGGAAGATGCTAATGATATCTAAAAATTATAATTAATCAATCCAACTTTATAAAAATGATAGTGAATAGAAAAAAGAATATGTTAACGTTATTTAAAATTTATAATCATTTCACGAACCTATTTAACAATAATAATAATAATGATGTGGATGATAATAGTGAACAGTAGGAAGAATTTATTAATGATACCTAAAAATTATAATGATTTCTTGAACCTATTTAATAATAATAACAATAATAATAATGATAATATTGAACAGTAGGAAGAAAATATTAATGATACTTAAACAAAAATTTTCGGATCTATTTAATAAAAATAATAATAATAATAATAATAATAACAATAATAATAATAAGTTGGAAGAATATATTAATAGTATCTAAAAATTATAATGATTTCTCAATCCTATTTAATAATAATAATAATAATAATAATAAAATGATTGACGTAATTTTTCCTCTATTTTACAAAATCTCTCGAAAAGTGCGATTTTCACAAAAGAAACCAACAGAAAAGAAAAGAAAGTGTTTGACAATGTTAATACTATTTCCGCAGTATAAAGAAAATGGATATATTGTCAAAATATTGTTAAACATTATTATTGACTTTTGTATCTCTTCTTTTCTTATTCTTTTCTGGATATCGCTCGCTTCCGGAAATGTTGTAATAATAATAATAATAATAATAATAATAATAATAATAATAATAATAATAATGGTAATAATTTTACAAACTCGAAATAAATAGTATAGCCTTCCTTAAAATTAATATTCATAATTAATAATAATTTTAAAATATAATATCTTTTGTATATACGTTATATTTCGAATCAAAAGCAATAATCTGATGAAACTAATTTCATCACGTGATGAATGACGATATTATCAAAGATTTCTTTTCTTTCTGAAGAGTTAATCTAAAGAATAAGTAGATGAATGATTCAGTGGAGAAAAGATTGCGTTAAGAAAAGAATGGAAAAATGGAAGAAAAGAAAAAATTTTGGTTTAGTCGTTCTAATTTTAGAATATATTAAACCACGTTGTCTGAAAAAATTGTTTACCGATTACACGATGAATAATAAGGCTCACATTTTAAAAACATAAGTTATATTCCTTATACAATGAATTTCAAATTGATTCAAGTATTTATAAAGTTTTTCATTTTTTTTTTTTTTGGATTCAAATGTTTATAAAGTTTTGCATTTTTATAAAGCGTTTTTGTTTTAAAATGTTAAAATGAAATGGAACAGTTTAATAAAAATATTTTCTAACAAGTAAAAGTTTTAACTCAAATTTTCGAATCATTAAATAATAACAATAATAATAATAATAATAATAATAATAATGTCGGAAATGATGAGAATAAAAAAATACAATTAACCTAAAAATATCTGTATAATATTGACGATTTGTAAATATAGAAAGCGTACAGTTACAGTGACGAAATGGGAGTATACATTAAAATATTTTACATTTATTTATAACTATAATTCAATTCATTACTGGGATTAAAAGAATAATGACATAATGATTAATTTATGAATACATTCATATATATATATAAATAAATAAATTATAAATTCGTTATGCAATTAGTTAAATCTACATTTAACCATAGCCCCCATATAAATAATAATAATAATATGAAGAAGAAATACAAAAAAACATGTTCTCACAAGTATAGTCTATACCTTCCGAATGGCTTAAGATATGTGCGATTTTTCTTTCAAAACTGCTCATTGGAAAATGCAATGATGCCATTTTTCAACTTAGGTCTCCCGGAAAGAAATGAGTATACTCCAGAAATCAAAGGAATAATAATAATAATAATAATAATAATAATAATAATAATAATAATAATAATAATACAACTGCAAGACAAGTATCAAAGTATTAAAAATTCACGTATTTTAACGCAAGCGGATTTTTTGGTCAAAAACTTGCTCATTAGATGACAAAAGTGACGGTACTCTACAAGGTAATGAATAAATATCCAAGTGACTTATCTCTTGTCGGACTCCAGAGTTTCGCGTTTGAAGAGTCCAGTAAAACCATGTTTGTTTATAACGATTCTGTCACTGATTCTGTCACGAAAAACTCAGGAGTCGCTCAAAAAATATGTCGCTTGAATTAATTAATTAATTAATAAGCTATATATGCGCAAACACACGCACAAGCACACACACTTAAACACACACACACACACACATATATATATATATATATATTTATATATATATATATACTATTTAACATATAACATAATTTCTTATATAAGATTTATATTATTTTTATTATATTTATATAACTATATATTTAATTATTTAGATTTACATATAAACAAATTTTATTGTTTAATATAAACTATGCTTATATATATATATATATATATATATATATATATGATGTATATATATATATTATATTTTAAATATAAATTATGTTGATAGATAGATAGATAGATAGATAGATAGATAGATAGATAGATAGATAGATAGATAGATAGATAGATATTAAATATGATAATGCAATTAATAAATATTTACGAAATGTAAAACCAATAATATATTTAAAATAATAAAACCAATGAAAATATTTCTTATGGTGTAATAATAAGATCAATAAACACATAGAGGTGAATTAGTACAAACGGATTACATAATTACAAGGATTTTTAACATTTTCTGTTTGTATAATTATATAAAAAAATAAATAATTTCAATCAATATAAAAAAAATAATTAATTTCAATCAAAATAACAATTTTGGAAATGATAAACATAAAAGGTATATCTGTAATGAAGTATTTTAAAACTGAATATATCACAATAAAGAATTTGAAATGGAATATCTCGAAATATAACTGAATATCGATAAGTAACACGTGCAGAAATTATAATTTTAAAATTATAAAATGTAATAATTTAAAAATTATAAAACAATGTTTGATAAAAATATTATGAAAATACTATTTTAGAATTGTTATGTGGATAACAATTTTGAAATAGAAGTATGCAATATTAATTTCTATTCTTTTCGCCCGATGCAATCATTTCTCCGCGAGAAATATATGAAGTATATGACATAATTATCTCCCTTTTCTATATATGACGTCAGAACCCTTCGA